CGATATAAAGCTTGGCTAAAATAAAAATTTGAAATTTAAAAATGTAGAGAAAAATTTTAACCCTTGATTTATAAATTTAATCAAAGTTCTAGAAGAAAAACATAAACACAAAAATAAGAATATTCAACTTTTAAAATAGAAAGTTCATTTAGTGCTGACAGTTCAAAATAACGAATAGCGCCACCTACTGGAAAATTTAAGATTTATTTTTGAGCAACTTTTATCCCTCGATGCAACAGCAGCTTTACCTAATTGACATTGTTTATCTCAGCTAATATTATCCACACTTCCAGCAACCTGCTCCGCCCGGTAGAAACGGTGGTTCACGCCCAGCACCACCGGCTGGCCCACGCAACATTCCCGGTCAGCCAGGCGATGTAAGTATAACATATATATGGCTCTACCTGTCCACTAATCGCTAATTTTACATACATACAGGATCATGTGCATATGCCCGGCATGCCATTCGAATTCGAGTATGCTGTCCAGGACCCAGACACGGCCAACGACTACGCGCACAAGGCTTCCAGCGATGGCGATGTGGTGACTGGCGAGTACCGCGTCCAGCTGCCCGACGGGCGCACTCAGGTGGTGCGCTACACGGCCGACTGGAAGACTGGCTACCATGCGGACGTCAGCTATGAGGGCGAGGCTCAGTATCCACAGGGACCAGCAGCTGGCGGMCGCGGTGGCGGCGGCGGCGGTGGTGCCGGTGGCTACAAGTACTAGAAAGAGAAAGAGAAGGAGAGAGAGAAAAGGAAAGAGAGAGAGCAGGGAGCAGGGAGCAGGAAGCAACGCTCGGTCCGTATCGCGTTTTGAGTTATGTCTGTCGTCATTATCTTGTTGTGAATTCCATAACAAATGTCTAAACTTTATGCTATACCAATAAAAATTATTGATAAATTTTGTATAATTATTATGTTTTTCAGTATTTATTTTTTATTTATTATTATTATTTATTTTTATACTTCGATATAAATGGAAGAACAATATAGAAAGGGAATGCCA